AAAAGATATAGGTCAGTTTAAGACCTTCTCTTATTTTACTTTCCTGTAGCATCCATCCAACATTTCAACAACAATCGAATTTCACAACGTTTCAAAACTGCGTCCCTCACTGAGTGGAGCAGTCATGCTTGGAAGTTGGAATGCTGTTGCCTGTGGTGGATGACAAGGTGTCAATCCAGTTGGACCATCCAATAAATTGACGCCACCAAAATCAGATGTGGCTAAAACTGGAAGTTATAATTAGATAATAGCCATCCAGGTATTAAAGAAAAAGAGAATGAGATACCATTTCTGCTGAAAATAATTTCCAACAATTGATCGAGGAATGCAACATGAACAATTTTTTATTTCAAGTTAAAAGAGCTAAATTATAAATTAGTAAATGATAATAATGAAGTTTTATTTTTTCATAAATATTAAACAAAAAAAAAAATCTTTTCTCATAAATACTAAAAGGGCTAAATTATAAATAAATGATCAATAATGAAGTTTTTTATTTTTTTCATACATATTATGACCAGTAATGAATTTTTTTTTTTTTCATAAACCCATAGCAGTGGGATACTTACAATTTTGGGACTCATTCTCTAACCATACAATTATCCGGATTATTTTCAAAATAGATGAAATCAAATTTAGAAAAAGAATATTTCAAACAAAAATCATGACAACCTCCACCAATCAAATTTGATGGCGTCGTGATGGGTACACCGGAGCTACTCAACGAACTATAAGCTGTTGTTGTGGTTGCACCATCCGCAAATGTTAATGACGTTGGACGTTTAATCTCTTCGTCTGGTAAATCACGTCCGTTAACATCAAACAATGTTGGTTCTTGTTTAATTTGCATAGAAGAAGGCTAAAAATAATCTTTTTTCTTCTTTCTTCTTTCAAGTCTTCAAAAAAAAAAAAGGAAACCATAGAAGAAAAAGTAAAAATTCATGTGCTACTAGCTTCAAAAAAATTACTTGAAAGCTCAATTCGAATTTCAAAATTAAATTTAAATTCGTGATTTCGAAACTAAAATCGAGCACATTAAAATTCACTACTTTACCTTTGTCATTGTTAGTATATTGGTATGGTTATCATTTCTGTTCAACGTTACAGTAGTTGTTAGCGGTGATACACCCGGTTGTGGTGGTGGTTGCCTAAGATCCGGTATCATTGCACTGGCTGGTCGCTTTCGATTACTAAGCACTGGCTGTGGCGATGGTGCTGATGATGTGTAAGGTACAATTTCAGTACTGGTTGGTACGGTTACTACTGGTGCCGGTGCACCACGTGGCATGTATTGCTGAGTACTGGACATATCGACATCCAATGTCTGACGAAGAGCTTCAGGCAAAACACAATGATGATCACGAATCACAGCGATAAGCTCATTTTTCTGAAAGTATTTTATGGAGAATTACGAATCGGACTGATATTACTAAAACAATATTTTCTTAACATCTGATACGATAGATAAATTAATTTTATTCATATTAGAACTTACCAACAACTGTAGTTCAGCAATTTTTGCATCTTTCATTTTATTTTCTTCCTTCAGTTGGTTCACTTGCTAAAAATGAATATAAGAAAATTTTTAAATGAAAAAGATTCAAATTTTGTTATTAAAAATCACAAATAATATCCAACAGTTATTTAAATTCCATGGTGAAATAGAGAAGTTCTTATTCTTCTAAGAGAAAAAAACTAGCTAATTACCTATGTAATTAATGACAATAATTAAACAGTATGACAGGACCTTCTAAGAAACTTCCAGATAAACTCAGCAAATTCTCCATATGAAAACTATACCTCTTATATTAGGAAAATCATCGGGACATTAAGTTACTGATTTTGCTCTGTCTTCTAATAATTCATAAATCTTACATTCTGTAGCGAACCCATAAGATCAAGGCGTCTTTGTCGACATCTTGCTGCTGCTTCTTTATTTCGCAAACGTCTTTTATCACGTTTATCCCGCTCTTCCTCACTCAAAGTGACATGATCCTGGAATATGAAATTCCTAGAAGAGAAAAAAGAGATTTTTTTTATTGGGCATGAAAACTCATTCTAAAATTGACCAGTTCTATCAAAACAATAAAATCAGATAATAAGGAACTGTTACTAACATATTCTTCGTATTCTTTTGGTCGACGACCACCACGTTTACCGGTCGCTGATGCTGGTCTTGCCATCGTATTTCCAACAAAACCAGCTCGCGTTTGATATGCTTGTGGCATGTTAAGCTGATAATGGGCGCCTATAAAATGACCTTTCTTTTCTTGATATCGAAAAGTTGACCAGAAGTCAAATGTTTGAAATGCAAGGTCATATATATGTTATATATTTGCATAGGGATCATGGTCACCTGTGTGGGTAACGTGGTTGTGGTAAATTAGTTTGATTCTCTTCATGGAAGACTGATTAGCAAAAGTGTAGCTAATAATGAAAGATACTGAGAGATAAGTACACCATCGGATAGATTTAAGTCAAAGAGATAACTATCTCAAATAGTATACTTAATTTAAAAACCACAAACAATATCAAGGCTCTTGCGATTCGAAATCAACAAACAGTTTTAAACAGCACTCTTATAATACGAAATTTACAAACAATTTCGAAATTATCACTTTTATAAAAACATCACCTATCCCATTCAATACCACTTTTAAGATATCGCTATGTGACGTCAGAACACGAAAAACAACAAATTCTATAGAAAAAAAAAAACTGAACTCATTGATCAATTAATATAATAGCTTTAACTACCAGTGAATGTGCTTCCACTACCATCAAAATAGAGTCAGTAAGAGCAACGACCCAAAATCACCTGAAACCGCCTACAATCCAATCACCTTATATGACGACTATCACCGCTTATTCCAACCCATAGTTGCTTTTCCTTTCAACTTCGGAAAGGTTTTTTGGGAATCTTGAAATATATATTATATATATAAATCGTTTAAAAGAAAACCCATTCAAAGTAAACCTTTTTTTGCTATGTACATTTTCAGAATTTTCGTTCTTATTTTGCCTTTTCAAAAGTTCAAAAAAAAAAAAGATCTTTAGGGTTTTTTTTTTCGGTTTTTCTCTCTCTGAATGGTAAGAAATTACTCTCCAGATTACCGAAAAATCTGATGCGAGAAAATCATTTTTTATCATTTCTAATATTTCTATCATTCGCCAACTGAATGTAATATTCAGATGGATTTGGGTAAATTTTACAATTTCTACGATCATTAGGAACTCCGGATATGTACAATCCGAGTAATGATTCTGATTTAAAGGATCTATAACGATAATACAACTACATTCTAATTGGACTTAGGATGATTTCACCATTTCCTAGTGACCTATTCCATATTAGTAACAAATTATACTAAAATTTGAACATTTCTATTTGAAACTCCTCAATTACAACTTCAATTTACATGGTGCAATTTTATGGTGTAGCATGAGTAAAATTCAGATACAATTCCAATGTAACAAATCCAGCATACACATTTAAATGACACCACAAAGTATAAACATTATGTAAACATTATTACTAAAAAAAAAAACATCAATTAAAATCAAATTTATGATCAACTCAAGTCATAGTCAGCGAAATTAAAGATAATTCTCCATTATAACAGCACTTGTAATGCAGAACAGATTGTTATCAATAATTTTGTCATTCTCAAAAATATTGGAAATAAAGATAACGAAGCAGGGGACAAGAAGGAAGCAAAAATAAGAAATGAATGAAAAAAAAAAAAAGGACTAACAAATAAAATAGTGAAAGGAACGGGCAATCTGTGAATCGAAAGAAAAAGTTGAAAAATAAATATGTAAGATAGGGCTTATGTAAATACAGGACATACATATACATATACATGCAAATGGAGATAGTAATGAAATCTATCTCAAACACAGAAAAGAAAGTGAAGAATGTCAAATTTTAATAAATGATGAAATTTGTAAAATAAATATTCCCTCCTCATATATTTAATTTGTTACTGCATCAAATTTGGTAAAAATCAATTTTAATAATATAATGCAATTTCAGTCTCATAAATAAGGAAGATACTTTTAAAAAATGAGAAAATTTACTCATAAATATTAAGAAAAAACTACAGAAAGAGAATTATCATCTTTTTTCTCTAAGATAAAAGTTGCTGAGAGAAAATACCTCATTATTTTTAGTACTTTAATATAACAAATTCGAATATTAAATATCCTAAAATTATCACAAAAATTTCGATCAAATACACCATGATGTTCAACAAATATATCCAATTTCTCTCATTTTTGTACCATTTGTTCTATAATTTTCTGCCCTCTTTTAAGTTTGGTTAATGCATCAATAAATTTCTTTTAATGTATCAATAATATATACGTAGTTAAGAAAAATACTTTGTTCTGCTGATTTTACCGACACTAGATTAAAATATAATAGTTAACATTTCCAAAAAATCATAATCTAATCTACCTAAAGATTTAAGGTCCAGAAAATCATAATCTAATCTATCTAAAAATTTAAGGTCTAGAAAATCATAATCTAATCTATCTAAAGATTTAAGCTTATGTGAATTTAGCATGCAATATCAATGCATCAATAATATATACGACTGTATAGGATAACGGATCTAATAGGAGTTACACTTCTAGTATAAAAAATGACTATGTGAAATTGAAATATTGATTGATGATAAGTAATGCTAATGCTAACACTATCATACGACTATCATCATGTTTTAACAGGAAGACTGATGAAGTGAAAACAGTGGATATAGTGCAGGTAAATGGGAAAAGCATTCCTGAAAAAGGAAACAATTTGAAGAGAAGAGAAATGAGTGCTCCTAACTTCGTTTTCATTCGTCCAATGTTTTTATTATTCTCTTTCATTTGCTAGGAAGGTATCTATCTCATCGACACTCAAATACTGACTCAGAAGCTAAGCAAAAATCATTCTCGGATGCAAGAAAGGTAAAACTTTAAGAAAATGATAATTGATGTAACATGCAAAAATATCAAAGCTCAATACAATTAATCACTTCAGGTATCCTCTCAAATGAATAGCCAAAAATTAGAAAATAACAATAAAGCCAAGAAATAAATAAATTAATTAAAGACTTGAAAAATAAATTCTCACCGTTTGGCGTAATTGGATGCAAACGATTGGCAAATCCGTATAACGATTCGGCTGTAGGCGTTATATCAGTTCCTTGTGATGCTATCTGCAAAAATTATCATGATTATCGTGAATGGAAAAAGATAAATTTGGAAAACTTTTAGTTCCTTCCCAAACCAAAGTCATGTGTATAAATCAAAGGCATTTGTGAATGATGGCTGGGATTGTTACCGTATTCGCTTCGCTCTTTTCTAAATATGAAACAATCTGGAAATGAAGTTTTGCAAAAAAGAGTTAGATTTCTAGCAATCAATTTTTTAGATTTCTAGCAAGCAGACAAACAAAAAAATAAAATCTCTTCAGATTTAACAAACTTTAAAATGAGTAGCAGAAAAAAGAAATTAGAGAGAACTTTCTTTCAATTATGACATTGAAAGAAGGCAAGGTGTTGATTTAATAAAAATTGATAATATTTAAAACTTATTAGCAAGGCATAGCTAACACTACCATTTTAACATATCTAAATTTTATTACCAGTATAATTATCATAATTAGTCACTAATGCAAAATCAAGTTTCACATATTTTAAGGAAATTTTTTAGGAATAAGAAGTTACTTCTCTCACTTAACTTCGTTTCATTAAAAGGGACCGTTAAAAAACGATGTTTTAAATATAAAATGGCCAAATTAAAAAGTTATACGGTACCGCCTTACTTACGTACAGATTTGTATGCATAATAATAGGACCAGCACCATCACTCTTTTTATGATGACACTAAATCATATTCCATACGATCTTTTCAAATCAGCAGATCGCAATTTGTAGCATACAAGTTTTAGTATTTTGAAAGAGAACAAAAAAAAGACATTAACTTGAAGTATTTGCTAGAATTTGATACATACTTCAGTGAATGTAATAAAGCCAAGGAATCAAAGGGAAAAGTGAAATGAAATAACTATAGGATTAAAAAAAAAGTAAAAGGAGAAAGTGACACACTTCGGTAAACAATGGTTGACAACACATCTGTAATACATTGAATTCATTCAGTGTCGGTGATAAGCCATAATATGGTTGAAAGAAATTGGATGGATAGACGAAACTTGAACTTGAACAAGATGAATGTAGCATTGATGATGATGATGATGACCCAGCAGGTGAATGACCAGATAGATAGCCACCTGCTTGTGCAGTAATATAAGATGATGATGGAGTTGTTGTACCGTATAAAGCAGGATTAGATGAAGTTTCTTCGGTAGTTGGATGAGATTGTTGTGTTGGAACATGAGCTGATAATGATGACGATACTGATGATGATGACGACGATGATGATGATGACGATGATGATGACGATGATGATAATGATGATGATAATGATGATATATTTGGTGCGACAATAACACGTGTTTGACGAGAACAATCAAATACTACGGCAGCACTGGTACTATTAGCGATCGAAGTACTATCAGAAACTCCTACAGGAGGTAAGTTATCATTAAGAGTTGCAGGATAATTAGTATTACCAGAGCATGTTGATGCGGCAACAATACTATATGCATTATTACCATTTTGATGTTGTTGTGATTGTTGCTGATTACTATTATTACTGTTATTGTTGTTGTTATTGTTGCCGATGCTGCTGTTACTGTTTTTGTTACAGTTTGCCACTGATTGACTCATTTGAAGAAACTGTTTCTTCTATTTCATTAAATTGATTAAGAGAAGAATATGTTTAGATTAATTATCGCAAAAGAAGCAAAACTTTTATATTTATAATAATCGTATTCAATAATTTTCTAGTAGGAACACCAGAATTAAATTATGATAATAATTTAGGGGAAATAATAATGATAGCTGTAAATGTTGTACATTTTAGCAGACGAAGTTAAAACATGAAATACTTTTTAACCCAGAAGAATGATTATTAATAGCAATAGCAATAGTAGCAATAGCATTAGCAATAGAAACCATCAACAGCAAACAACAACAACAACGACGACGATAGTAAATGACACAGTAGCAATATAACAAAACCGTATTCGTTCCACCTATGTATCAACAACAGTTACAAAAGTCTTCAAGAAGATGTAGCTATTAGCTTGCCATAACAGCAATTGCTAGAAGGAATCAAAAATGGCAACATTTTTGGCTTATTGTATTTTTTCAAGATGAATCAAATAGCAACATAACAAAACCTTCACCATAACCAATGCCAAACACCTCACTACCAGTCGTCGAATGAATAACCGAAGCTTGTAATCACCGAAGGGAGCTTCGTTTTTTTTTTCCTGCATTTTTGTAGCATCCATAAAATGCTTCATGACTATCTGTTATCTTCGAGAGTTTTACCATTTCAAGCTAAGAATAACAATTTGAATATTACGCTATAGAATTCAAGAATTATTGTCCCAGTAAAAAATTTGAATCATCATATCATTTAGAATTACGCACAATAACTAATCCATAAGCTTTTGATAATTTTGAAAATCAAAAAATTTTTGAAAGCCTATTAGTAAGCGTTTTTGTCTGATAAAAAGAACTGCTGCAATGATAATACTATGATATGTACAATTAATACTTTTAGTAATAGTAGTATTTCTGAAACAAATGATCCAAAATTATGCCATTTAGTGCATACATTCTATGAACTTCACAAAACAATCGGTTGGAAAAGTCCATAGTACATGTTTGGACGATAAATGTTGTGATTTTTTCATTCCAAAATAATAAAAAAAAAAATGAGAGAGGGAATGAGAGAGAAATTGATGTTATCGCAATTATCCGGTAGCATAATAATCATTTTCACCTCATATGAAAATTTTATCAATTATGATGGCAGTAATCATAGCGCTGTCAATAAAAATCACAAAATAGCAACTAAAACAAAATCTACTCATAAATATTTTTTTTTTTAAATTTTTTGTTTTCAGTACTGTTTCTCAGCCATATTTTTTTTGATAAGCTAACATTCCATCAGCTATAACTTTTATTAAATATATTCTAATCTATTGATTTCGTATTCCAACATTTTCACTCTAAATTTGCAAAGAGTGCTGACATCACTGAATGACGACAATACACTGAAGTGAATGAACAAACAAAGTAGGTATAATCACTCATTTATTTTCCAATCTGGGATTTCACTTACGAATTAAATCTTTTCTAGTTTCATCGTCTTGCTTATTTCTTTCTTCCTTATTATATTTTGTTATTTCCATTTTCAATTTTATTGTTTAATTATTTGCCTGCATTACTTTTAATGCTTATTTTACTTTCCATCCATAGCAATGCTTCTCGCAATGTTATTTAAATATGCAGATAAACAAACATGATCACTTTATCTCTTGAAGAAACTATCCTATACCATTTTGCAATCCTACTAAAACCATACATTTCTTTTATGGAACATAAAGCACCGTCTATTTTTAAACACATTAAACTATATCTATTTTTAAAAACTATAAATTGACTTTTTTTTTATAAAATTTCTTACTTCTTCCTTCTGTCTAATTAGACAACTATACCTGCTAGTAGTTACTATCTATCTGTGTAAGAAGCATAATTAATCAGCTAATGAGCTTTACCTTTCAGATCTCCTTTTACAGTATCGAGTCAAAAAAAAAAAAGAAAAAAACATTTTCATTCATATTACTACTACTACTACCATTCTTTTTTACACCTTGTGTGATAATACATTATTCATACTTCCAGATTAATATATGTATAAGTTCTGATGACTATTGATTATTACTACAAAACACAAACATATATGGATGAGAATGAACGAAAAAAGAAGAACTTTTTCGTTTTGGCTTTATGAAAATAGAAATAAAGAGAGAAGGAGAGAAAAAAAAATACATTACACAAAAATGAGATGAGAAATTTGACGAATAAATTTAGCGCTAATAAAAAAGCATAGCTTTCTGAATAAAAGAGAAAAAATTGTTTTTGAATTCGAAAGATAACAAACTTTCGTTATGAACTCTCGAAAATTCTTCTTTAAATTATAATTTATACCAACTTTCAAATTCAATTTACGATTAAAAATACATACTAGATATTAAATACAGCCATAGTTCTAGATTATATGCAAATACTTAATGTTCAAAGTTGATACTAAATATTAAGTGAAGCTATAATTAAGTTCACAATTACCAATACAATAAAAGCTATAATTCCAGCACATTAACTTTAGCGCCATTATGATAAGCTAATCCAAAGCAAAAACATAAAGAGAGAAAAGCATTAAGTATTTTCGTTCTTTTTCTAAGAGTACCGATAGCAGAGAATTTGCAAATGGTAAAATGGACCAGTTGTAAAGCATGACATATGTGACATCTTGCTATCAACACTAGCAAAAAAACATAATCTACCTCAATGTTAAAAATTGCTAACTTAAGATCAACAGAAGTTAGTTATAAATTAATTTCAAATATTTCGTATAGCTTACGATAATTATCTTACATGCAGTTGCCGCAGCTTTTTCACCTCTAATATGATCTGCTCATGTATTCTAGCTATTTTGTTAGGTTTTTTTGGTTTCTGGTATTATTGGAAAAGTTATGGCTAATGTATTTCTCATTATTCCGATAATTCCACTGAATACTGAAAAGTAATAAACGTAAATTCGACAATAGCACAAATTCGATAATATCAAACCTAGGAATTAAGTCCAATATGAAAAAAAAAAATGAAAAAAAAATCCGGTTTATTTATCCTTTTTGAATCATACGCGAATAATGATAAATAAAAAGATCACGATTTAACACTATTGGAGAAATTTTATTAAAATAAAACAATAATGCAAACTACCTCATACATAGACGGTAATCCTGGTGACGATATTGGACGTATAACCATAACTTAGTGCCACCGTAATAAACCGACAAAACTTTCTTCCTCAGCTGGATTTTTAAGAAAGCACTCCAAAGACCTGTCGAAAGTTAAACAGCAAAAATGTTTTAAGTCAAACGAAAGAGGAAAAAAAGAAGAGAACGAACAAAACATTTACGTCATAGGTGGAAACGACATTTCGCGAAAAAAAAAAAAAAAAGGATATTTAATCTTATTTTAAGATTAAAAAAAGTTTGAAAAAACATATATAACATGTAGAGAATTGCTGCACTAATTCTTTCTACATTCTTAGGATATATAATACTTAAAAGTGAATTATTGATCCATTACTAGATATAGAATCAAAGAATATTTGGATAAATATTTTAACCAGTGCAAGTTGCAGCAGCTTCTTGTAACACAAATAAAATGCTAGCAAAAAAGCAATTTATTCAGTCATTTTCTCTTTTTTTTTTTTTTTTAATTCTAACTCTACAAACTGCAATAACCTCATAATCAATAGAATAGCTCCTATTTCTTAATCTTTTACTTAGCAAAAACCTTTTAATATTATGGATTTAATAAATTCGTTTGTTTAAACGTATCTTTTAAAGAAATACATCTTTTCTTCTCCGTTACTTTTTCAATCTAAAATTTTCGCCTACTACACCTTATCACTTCATCTTTATCACTAATGTAAACCAAAACATCAAGGTATCTAGCAGCCATAATCTATCTTATCTTTTTCCTTTATTTCTAACCAACATTAATTTCATATAGAAACTTTCAAATTTTCCTTTTCCTATACCACAAATAACTGCGAAACTCTTAGTGATAAACATCTTTTCTTGTTTCTACATGCAAAATAAAACAAAACAAAAAAAAAAAAAAACAAAAAGGAAATATGATACAAACCCACTAAATGAATGTTGATAAAAAAATTGAGATATTGCATTAATTTTAACTTCTCAAATTTCATAAATCTAAAATTATTACAAACGAATAAGTGATTATTTTTCCACTCCTGAATTAATTTCTAATCAAACGCTTCCTTTTAAATCATACAAGTCTAACATCTAAAATTTTAAAAGCCATTTCGAATATTTGTAATTTGAACGAATCAACTACACATTTGTATCAATGAATTAGATCAAAGATAAGGAAAAAAAGATCAAGGATACATCCCAAGGATTTATACATCTTTCTCTCTCTCTCTCTCTCTCTTCGCATCCGTCCTCCGTTCATTAGTTCACCGTGTCTGTTAGAATCATCATCGTTACATTTGTTACGATTATTGCTATCAATATCCAATATCAAAATGCTTTTTCTTTTTTTCTCCCTCTAAACTAAAAATTTTCTCTTCCCTCCTTCTATTGCTTATTTTTTGGCAAATTTACCAGATTGAAACCATCCCCTTTTTTTTTTTTTTTTTTTTCATTTTCTCCTCTCTTTTCATCTCAAAAACGAACACATCTTTTTTACGTACCGAAAAGCTTTTCCTTCTAAATGAAAAAAAAAACACTTTCGAAGAATCAAAACCGAGGAGGTGAGAGAAATAGAAGAGGAAAAGCATCAAATATTTACATTATCAAAAAAAAAAAAAAAAAACAAACTACGATATAAAACATCTCCTTCATTAAGCATACAACCACAAGTATTACCATCTTATGCATATACCTCAAATTCAAATAACTTTTAATAATAATAAAAATATATTTTCCATTGTAGTCATCTTTTTTTTTTCCCACTTTTATTTGTTTATAAAAAGAAAAAAAAAATCAAAGTAAAAAGATTGAGAAAAAAGAAGTTGGAAAAGGTTAGTAAATGCATTTATCACTAAAGTACAA